CAGACTTATATTGCACAGATCTCTGAAACACTCAGGATGGATATGAGCATTAAGTTTCACCCTCCCTTTAGAGATGAGGAAAAGAAACCACAGGGACCTGTGTACTTGCTCAGACTGTACACAGTATTAATAGAAATGCTGGAAACTGTGGTAGAACTTTTTTTGTTTTTATTTTTAACAAGCTTTAAAATACGTTTAAAGCAGACCAATTCTGGATGTCATAATGGAGTACAGGGCAAGCTAGAGATCAGCAAATTAATTGCAGAGTATAACTGCCCTTACTAGAAATGTGGCTCTCCCTCTAGTTGTCTGAAACTCTCTCTAGACTATGAAAATTAGCATCTCTGATGCATTTTAGATAGCTGTGATGGATTGTCTACTCAGCAGTGTTTCCCGAACTTTTGACATATGTGTGCCCCTTCTATAAATTTTGTAACTCTGAGTACCCCTCGTACTCATGAGAACGTAGAATTGGGCGCAGCTAAGCACGGTGCAGTGCATATCCCCACCAAACTCCAGTGCAACACATACCCCCACCAAACTCTTCCCGTACCCCTGTACCACACTTTGGGAAACCTGGTCTACTGCAACCTCAAAGAAAGTTGTGTCCCCTTAAGTTTTGTCAAAATGAACATTTTTAAAAATATATTTTATTGATTTTGTACAGAGAGGAAGGGAGAGAGACAGAGAGTTAGAAACATCGATGAGAGAGAGAGTCATCGATCAGTTGCCTCTTGCACACCCCCTACTGGGGATATGCCCGCAACCAAGGTACATGCCCTTGACCGGAATCGAACCTGGAGCCCTTCAGTCCCCAAGCCGACGCTTTATCCATTGAGCCAAACCGGTCTTGGCAAAACGAACATTTCTAATGAAAAATGGTTTTTTTTAAATAGTTCATACTCTACATGGTCATGAAATCAGTATAGAAGCATGGTGAAAATCATTAATTCTGTGAGTTCCCTGAGACATATGTGAGATTCTGTGCTATTCACTGTGGGGAATACAAAGAAGTATAAGGAGCAGTCAAAATAACTTGATCTTGTTTTAGAGGAGGCAAATGTGGCATAGTAGAAAGATTAAGGAGTTTGCCATCAAACAGATCTGGAGTTCAATTGTACTTCTGACACCTAACAGCTGTGTGATTTTGGGCAGGGTACTTGTCTTATTGAGCCTCAATATTTTTCTTCTATGAAATTCAGATAAATAGATAAATACTCGCATAGGGTTATTGTGAAGATGCAGCTGTTAAAAAAAATTCAACTGAATAAATTTAACGAGCTAATTAGCTTTATTCAACGATTCAGGCAACATCCCATCCAGCAAACAGGAAGGAGATCCCAGGAGCTATATAAAATGAAAGCCTTTTATAGGGAGCAGGGGGCAGAGAAACGAAGTTTCTAGCAAAGAGTGCAACATTTCAGGCGAGGCCCTTTCCTTTGGGGTTTCTATTGGGCGGATTGCCTCACTAGTGTTGATTAGGAAATTACAGATTAACTGAATGAAAGTAATATTCCCTCAAGGGTGATATTAGTTAGATTAGGTATTATATAACCAGTTTCATGACTGTATTTTGGGCGTTGTCTCTTTTATAACACAGTGAAGAATTTCAGAAGATCTGTGTTTAATAAGACATTGGGGAGAAATATATTAGAAAATGATACATGTTAAAAGAAAAGCATCGCCCTAGCTGGTTTGGCTCAATGGATAGAGCATTGGCCTAAGGACTGAAGGGTCCCGGGTTCAATTCCTGCCAAAGGCACATGCCTGGGTTGTGGGTTTGATCCCCAGTAGAGGCGTGCAGGAGGCAGCCAATCAATGATTCTCTCTCATCATTGATGTTTCTCTCCCTCTCCTTTCCTCTCTGAAAAAAAAAAAAAAAAAAAATATATATCTATTTAAAATAATAATAAAAGAAAAGTTTCTTTAGAGCAGGAAGTGGTAGTATTTCTGTTTTTAAAGATGCTATAAAATTCTGAGGAATTCATAAATAGCTATAACTACATTATATGTAGCATATTTGTTTTGGTGCTTATTCCTATGTATTTCTTCATTATTATATATCTCTCCTTAGACTGTAGATTATAATAGTACAGGTGTTTTATATTTGAATAAAATCACAATGAAGTTGACTTCAATATATGGCTATCTGCAGACTAAAGGGTCCAGGGTTCAATTCCAGTCAAGGACACATGCCTGGGTTGTGGGATCCCCAGTAGGTGTCGTGCACAAGGCAGCCAATCAATGATTCTTTCTCATCACTAATGTTTCTCTCTCTCCCTCTCTGAAATCAATAAAAATATAATAAAAAAGATATTTGCACAAAAATGTAAACATTTGCAATGAAAGTATTCTCCAAAAGTAATACCTAATTACATATGGTATGCGGTTAAACCTTAACAGTGTACTCTAAGAAGATGCCCCTATATTCCCTAGACTGGGTTATATTCACTTTCTTTATATGTATTCCCCCATCCGGCATTATATTGGAATTATCCATCTATGTCTGTCTCCCTATTAAACCTTTTGCTCTATGGAAAATACTCTTATCTAGTTTTATGTGTCTACTTCAGGAATAAGGGCTTTAAACAAAGCTACTTATCTGAACTGAACAACTTAATGATGAAATTACTAAATGTGAATCCCATCATCTTTAACTGTTTTGCTGGTGCCCTTTAACAGGTTAGAATTTGGTTCAGAGTTCTTATGTCTTGTTTGGGGAGCAAAAATATATATTTTTAAAAAAATATATTTTATTGATTTTTCACAGAGAGGACGAGAGAGGGATAGAGAGTTAGAAACATTGATAAGAGAGAAACATCGATCAGCTGCCTCCTGCACCCCTCTCCCCACCCCCACTGGATATGTGCCCACAACCAAGGTACATGCCCTTGATCGGAATCGAACCTGGGACCTTTTCAGTCTGCAGGCCTTCGCTCTATCCACTGAGCCAAACCGGTTTCAGCTGGGAGCATATTCTTGACCTATTTCTAAGAGTGTTTCATCTGACCCTGGCTATTTCAGAATTCTGCTGTGGGACTGGGTTCCAGGTTCTCACATCTTGCCTCACTCAGTGGCATGTTTCATGCCAGAGGGTGAGCATAGGAGGCAGCTGTGTTAGCTTTATATTCTGTGCTCTCTTCCAGAAATGACTATACTCGTGATGGACTGCGAGATGGGCAAAAGTCAGGAAACGAAGGTTTCTAGGGTTCAGACTTATGTGGCCACAAAGTAGGGAGCTCAGTCAACTTTTTTGTAGTTTCAACTGAGTGCAGCACCCTGGGTGCTTTTGTGCTAACAGGGCCAGGCACTGAATCCTCAAAGAAGAAAAAAAAAATCACTTCCAATTATCTTGGCTCATCCTCAAAGTATCAATCTGTGTTATTCTCTGCGCCAGAATCTTTCCTTCATTTGAAATCCCCCCCCCCCTTTTTTTTTATCCCCTCAGTTTGTCATTTTTGAATGATTGGCGATTCCTAATGGGATTGTTTATACCATGGAGTCCCACGGAGCCTAAGGTTATGGTAATCTTACTAGTTATGTTCATGATCCTTTGATTATTAAAAATTGACCCATAAAGTGCGTGGAGTGCACTTCATCTTAAATTTGAGGCTGGAGGAATTTTTACCTATGTAAACAACTACCACTCAAATCAAGACACGGAGCTTTTGTAAAAACTCTTATGAAATGATTCCCTTGTGGCCCCTTGCATCCCTCCAGAGGAAACCATGATTCTAAACTCTTACGCCACTGATGATAAGTGTTGTGTGGAATTTTTCTGGAGAAAGGGGATGATTTGGCTCACAATCCCGCGGGCCCGGGCCAGACGCACCCTCGGCTCCCCCCTTTTAAAGGGCATCCCGCGGAGGTTCCGGGGGTCCGCGGAGTGGCGGCTCCGCTCGCCGGGGCCCGGACCCGGGCCAGCCCCGCCAGAAGGCGGTCGGTCGGGCCTCACATAGGCAGGTGCCAGAAGCACGCCACAATAGCCGCCCGCAGTCTCCCACGCCGGCCTCGCGGCAAGCCGCCCACCATGCGAGTGGGCGCCCTTCCCGCGCGACGGGCGGGCCAGCCGGGCGTGGCCACCCTGGGCGCAACCCGCGAGAACGTGAGTGGCCAGGGGAGGCGCTCTGGAGCCCGGGATGTGGGGCGCACGCCCATTGGCTGAGCTTCTCCCCGTCCGGCCGCAGAGCCCACCTACCGGATCCTCTTTCGGCGCTTCCATTGGTCGTTGGCGTTCCAACCCGCGCCCGCCCCGCCCCCCTCCCTCCCGGATGAAAAAAAGGGTTGGGGGGGGTGGGAAGCCGAAGCGGAGGGTGAGCGGTCCTACTGGTAAAGGGGGCGCGAGACAGCCAATCAGGACCAGACGTCGAGACGTGGCGCCGCGCCAGCCAGTCACATCCCGCGGTCCGGGTCGGGGGGGCCGGCTGACGCGAGGGCCGGCCGCAGCCAATGGGCGTGCCGCTACCCGTCCGCTCTTTAGCAGCCGCTCGGGGGTGGTGGAAAGAGCCAGTGAGGAGAACGCGACGGCGGCGGCGGAGCCATCGGTGGACGACCCGAGGGAAAGAGAGGCCCCAGCCTGTGCATCTAGGTGAGAGAGGCAGGGCGCCAGGTGGGAGAAGCCGGGGGCGGGCCCCCTACCCGTCTGGCCCGGGCCGCAGCTTTAGGGCGCCCGGGATGGCAGGCCGGGCCCAGCCCGGGGGTTACCCCCGGCGCCCCGCCCACGTCCTCGCCCCCGGCTGGGAGTGCGGGCTGCGGACCGGATGGGCTCTGGTTGGGGCGCCCCGCTGCCCTCCGGAGGGCGGGGACCGCTAGCAGGGATGTAGGGAGGAGCCTGGTGTGCTGCTGCGGAGCCTGGGGGCGCCTCCTGCCCTGGGCGGGGAGGCCGGGAAGAGGTGGTGAAGGTGGGGCAGGGCAGGGTAGTTAACGGAGGAGGAGGAGGAGGAAGCCTGTGATTGAAGGATTCCAGGTCTGGGGAGGAAGAAAGTGATGAGAAAAGGTTGATGCTCAGAAAAGGGTGCCGGAGGAGACGGTGCGGAGCTGTGCAGTGTTGGTAAGTAGGCACTGATAGAAAGGGTTGAGGAGGGGAGAGGGGAAATCCGCTGGGACTGAAGGGAGGGCAAGCTTGGGTTTTTGAAGGTTAAGGGATGTGGACCATTGGGGACACGTGGGATGTGGAGTAAGCGGCACCTACTGAAACTGAAGGTGACTGAGAGGATGATGAAGGTTTTAGGTGAGATGAGGATAGAGGCTCCTTAACTAAGAGAGCGTTAGGTGGCCAGTTAGGGGAAGCCATACGAGGAGCTAACAAGGTAGGTTTATGTGTGGTGGCTGAAGGGTGTGGGCCTTTTTGTGAGTGAGTAATAAATAATAACTCGCTTTTGGCAGAGACAGGAGAACTAGATGTCTCAGGAAGGAATCAGTCAGCCAAGTTCATAGGTTCATGCACTGCACTGCACTACACTGCATCGAGGCCTAAACACTGAGACTTGACAACTCTCTTTGCTGAGGCTGATCGATCTTCCGCCCCTCGGTTCATCTAATTTGCTTTGCTGCAGCAGCCCACACGCTCACTCTCTCAGAATTAATGGCACACGTGTTTGCTTTTGATTGGATGGCAGTGAAGAATCGCTTGATTCTTTCCATTAAAAAAAAAAAAAAGTATCCGTTGGTTTACACGCATTGTCAGAAGATACTCTGAGAAAATCTGCCCCTGTAGGGGAGTTTCTCAACTACCTTATCTTGTTGCACAAGTGTAATATTAGCATAAAAATGATGCAGGAGTTTTTGCAGAAACACAAGTGAGAGTTAAACATTTTATAAGTACAACCCTGCTGTTCTACAGCATCAACTATTTTGATGTAGTAGAATTTGGTTATGTATCATGCTTGCTGGGAAAATTTTCAGCCTTGGGAAGTTTTATAGCTAAATAGGTTCAAAGTTCCTTTCATTTAGAGGAAAGACAGACATGGTACATGTGTATCACTGTTTCAGGCTTTTGGATTTTTTATTTGTGAGGTGAGGGCAGAGGTTGGGGTCAGAGAAGAGGAAGTAGAAAAGAGTGTTCCACTACCTAATTTCCAGTGGAATTAAATGGGAGGAGATGATAGGCACTGAGGTATAATTTCTGCTTGAGGATATAACAAAAAGAATGTGAAGCCGTTCAGCACTTTTGACAAACATAAAATAGTATAGGGTCAAGGACAGAAACCAGAGAGGGTATTCATTGTATATGTATAGGGTGCTTCCTTGTAAACTAGATCAATAAAACATTATAGCTAATGAGACATTCTTTGAGATGTAGAAATAATTTTGTGGGTGAGTAATAAGTGTTGGTAATGCTACTCATTGATCACATTTACTCTAAGTATAACAGAATACCCAAGTGCTCACAGGTGCTGAGGCGACTCAGAGCAGAGAAGTAATCTGAGTTGTTCAGGGAAGGTTTCTGGGAAGAGGTGAGTTTTGAATCATCCTTTGAATTAGGAGTTGGGTTATTGGAAGACATGAAGATTATAATGAGTGACAAATGAAAAAAAGCTTTAAAGGAGAATTGAAGGTTTGAATGAAAATTTAAGGGTGTGGACTTCAACTAAGTTTGGTGTAGCTTAGTGGATAAATGATGATTCTGTATTATGGTAAGAGAATAGTTGATTATTAGAGATAGATAGTAAAGGAAAGAGCAAAGTATTTTTTTGATAGTTAAAAGAGAATATGGTGAAAGTAAGTTGGGTTGTTGATAAGTAGAGTTGGTGTACAACTATGAATAATAAACATTTTTGTGTCCTGTACTAGATTATGTTGATAATAGTAATATTATTTATTAGATGCTACTTTGTGCCAGCCATTGTTTTGAGCTTTCTGAACATCATATTCCTTTGATTATTCCTGTTTTATAGATGAGGGAACTGAGATTCAGAAAGATTTAATTTGCTCAAGATCACACAGCTAATAAGGTCAAGATTGGCCCAGCCAGTCAATAAACATTATTAATTGAGCATCTGCTTCATGTCAGGCACTGTATTAAGTGCTGGAGATTCAAAGTTGATAGCAAATCCAAAGATCAGGTCTGAGCCATTTTTATTTTTATTTTTTAGAGATAATCATGAGTTCACAGAAGAGAGTCAGGGAAGAAAGAGGAAAAGATTAGTTGGAAGGACTTTTGTAGACACTGAGCAATATACTGTTTAGGGACACTTAGAACTTTAAGAAAGAGGAAGTGGTCAGCAGTAAACTATATAGCTGAGAGACTCAGGGAATAAAGATTGAAAAGAAACTATTGAGTTAGGTAAGGGAAAAGTATTGTGAATTTAGTCTCAAGAAAGCCATAATGAAGATATTAAAATACAGGCCAATAGTTAATCATGTTTAATGGCAAGTGCTCTATACAAATGTAAAATTTGGTATGATCACAGTTATGGTCAAATTCATAGAAAAAGTGTTGGCATGTCTCTTTGTAATATTTTGATCTTTGACTGGTAAGATTGTGGGTGGTTTAAAAATGCTTGTACTTTTAGTATTTTTTTCAAATAAAAAAATGAGCATTATTTTTATAATTAGTGGGGGCAAATTATTCAACTGAAATAGGGGATATGTGCGTGGGCTAATGCTAATCTGAATTGTGTTTGGAGTCAGAGAAAAAGATGGCCTTTATTCAGTGCCTACTGCATATGAGCCACTTTGTAGGCACATTCCCATCTTAGAATATCTGGGTTGTTACCAGTGTAAGCATCCTGAAACTATATGTTGAAAGAGAACATGTTCTTAATCTGAGGGATCAGGTGACTAAAGCACCCTGAATCATAGAGTTTTGACTGTTCTGAACATTGTTTTCTTTGTGTTTAATAAACGGAGTAAAGGTTAAAAAGAAAACAAACCACCAGTGCAGTTATTTCAACTTTGTCTTTTGGCCTTTTATTCTTTCCTCTTCCCACACGTTGGTTCTGTAGTTCCTGTCTTCAGTGGGTTTGTAATGGGCTTAGAGTCCCAGTTCAGTAAGACAGTATGAAAGTGCTGAATTTGCATAGAACTGAAACCCTTAAAATTTTTTATTGTTTTCTGTTCCCAATTTGAAGAAGAATAGAGACTGATTTCAAGAAAGTAAGCTTTTCTCATAAAATTTCTCCAAAGGAAACTAGTAGGATTTGCTCTAGGATCCAGTACAGATTTATCTTTAAAGGAGAAAGGGAGGTATTTTGCAAGTCAAGAATAGGTTGTAGTTTTTTTTTTTAAAGTACATATTTTTATTGATTTCAGAGAGGAAGGGAGAGGGAGATAGAAACATCAATGATGGGAGAGAATCATTGATTGGCTGCCTCCTGCACACCCCCTACCTGGGGATTGAGCTTGCAACCCAAATGCCCTGACCTGGAATCCAGCCATGACCTCCTGGTTTGTAGGTCTATGCTCAACCACTGAGCCACACTAGCTGGGCTAAGTTCTAGTTTTTAAATTTCATTTAGCCAATAGGGATTGTGGGAAAAAACAGTATTTCATCTAGGTAGTGTCCTTTTTCTTAAATTATCACGTTTAATTTTCATATAGTTCTCTAAGTTGGCTATCCCATTTTTCAGATGAAGAGAAGGGTTCAGAGTAGTTATTTTCCAAAGGTTGAAAAGATAAGTGATCGAACTCCGAGTCAAACATTGCTTTGTCAAAAAACTCCAGAATTCATGTACATGAACAATGCAAGAAGAACTTGTTTACTTGAATACCTACAATTGAAATGAATGGCACGTAGCCTTTGGTATTTAGTAACTATTTGTTATGCTTAGAAGAAATTCTTGTTCTGTGTGTTTGTGTTTTGTGACAATGGCTCTTAAATGATAGCAATTTTTGTATTTTATAAAGTGCATTATATTACAAATAGAGGTGTGCTCACATTTTAGTATTTTTTGAAATGAAGATGTATTTACAGTGCTATATTTATTTTAAAATGTTTATGAAATGTATACTATGTCTTAAAATTCATTGTGTCTTTGAATTGAGGTAGGGTGGTGTATATATATAGTCTTTATGTATAACTGTTTTAGAAATTTGTTGTGTGCAATTTCTTCCCAACCTCCTCTCTTTACTTAACCAATTAATTTTTTTTCAGTATGGCATAATATAGAATTGAAGTATATATTAATAATAAAATAGCCATTCTCTTTAGCTAATGAATATTATAGAAAAAAGATACTGTGATGTAGAAAGTTTACACTGCACTGTGAATCAGCAGATTGAGTTTAATTTTGGTTTTGCTAGTAACTTAATGAATGATTTGAGGCAAGTCACTTCCCCTTTCTGAACTTTAGTTTCCTCATCTGTAAATTGGAGTGGGGTGGGGAACTTTCAGACCTATCTTATCTTGAATAAACTGTGTACCCTCTTTCTTTTTTTGATCCTCACCCAAGGATATTTTCCCAATGATTTTTAGAAAGAGTGGATAAGAGAGAGAAGACTGAGAGAAATATTAATGTGAGAGAAATACATCAGTTGGTTGCCTCCTGGATGAGTCCTGGCCAGGGCCCGGACTGGGGAGGATCCTGCAACCAAGGTACGAGGTATGTGCCCTTGACCAGAATCGAACCTGAGACCCTCAGTCTACAGGCCAGGGCTCTATTATCCACTGAGCCAAACTGGCTAGAGCTGCCTTCTTTTCTAATAAAAAATGTGGATGCTATAAATCCCTTTCTTAAAAACGGTATTTATTGCTTTTTACTATTTTTTCTTTTTCTTCATCTCCCTGTCTTTCTTCCTGCCCATTTTCCCGCATGGATCTTTGAGGGTATATTAGAGAGGGTGAGTTATTTTTGATATCCTGCATTTACCAGCACAGGATATCTGAGAAGATAGGTGCCTGAATAGTTAATGACTGAATAAATGTGTTTTATCTGAATTAATAAGAAAGTCATTTAAATAGAATACCAGCTGAAAGCTGTTGAACTTTCACTGAAAAAATTCTGCCTAAAGAATGAAATGTGAGACATAGAAACATGGTGGAACAAACTGTGGAATCTCAGAGGGAAGGCAGGTGGGGGTGGCGGAGTGGTAAGAGATCAACCAAAGAAC